GCTACAGCGCCACTTCCGGTTTTCTGGTGGTTTATTGGAGATAGGAGTCTCACGGTCTCTCCTGCCCGGGCTGGCTTTGAACCACGATCCTCAGATCTCAGCCTCCTGAGTAGCTAGGATTACAGGCGTGAGCCACCAGCGCCCGGCGTACACTTCTGGCTTTTTGGTGGTTGGAGAGAAGAATCTCACAGACTTCCCTGACTGGCCTTGCTTTGAACCACAAACCTCAGATCTCAGCCTCCTAAGTAGCTAGGATTACAAATATGAGGCATTGGCACCCAGCTTTAGTTTATTTTTTAGATAGGTTTTACTTTCTGCCCAGGCCAGCCTGGGATTGCTGTCCTCCTACCTTATTCCTTCCATGTAGCTGGGATTACAGGCATGTACTGTAATAACCAGCAGTTCTAAAGCTTACCCCACTGTAATGTCATCACTATGGTCCTGTTCCCCCCCCTCCCCACACACACTGGAGGGAGTGGGGCATCAAGGAGTGGTTGGGCAGTGGGAGGCTTGGGAGAGGGGCGTGAGTGGGGGTTGAAACCATTGGACCTTTGGAGCCATCGGATTGGGCTGAGTATTCTAAGGATGGGGGAGTGGCGACAGGAGGGTGGAGAGAAAGACAGCAAGAGGTACGTACTGGAGCAGAGTAGGTCAGGCCTATGGAGAGGCCTGCGGAGAGGTAATAGGCCTCTAGAGAGGCCTGAGGGGAGGTGCAAGGCCTGCGGTTTGCAGAGAGGCCTATGAAGAGTAGAGAGGCCTACAGAGGAGGAGGAAGGAAGGAAAAGGAAAAGCCTTCCCCTTTGGAGCTTTTGAAGTTTGCAGACTGACTAATTAGAGGTTTGCAGACTGATTAATAGGAGGTTTGCAGACAGACTAATAAAGGCCAGGGTTGTCCTTTGGTGGTTTGAGGTTTTGTGGTCAAGGCTACTCTTAGGTCTGGGTAGCTGTGACAAGGTAGTCACAGGCCCCCTTTCTGGTACAAATAGTGTAAATAAAACTCCTTTGTCACCTTTAACCATGCCTGTGTAGATTGTCTTACTCCCAGGTCATAATATTATCACCACATACAACTGATTTTGTGGAGATGAGAGAGTCTCCTTATTTGCCTGGGCTGGACTTAGTCCTCTTTTCTCCTAATCATCCTTAATATCTGGTATTACAGACATGAGGCACACCAATAATAGTAATATTACATTCTTAATTATAGTTTGCTTAAGTGCCTTTTACTTAACAGGGGTTTTTTTGTTGTTGTTGTTCTTTGTTTTGTCGGTCGTGGGGCTTGAACTCTGGCCTTGGGTGCTGTCCCTGCACTCTTCAGCTCTAGGCGAGTGCTCTACCGCTTGAGCCACAGCACCACTTCTGGTTTTCTAGTGGTTTATTGGAGATAAGAGTCTCTTCGACTTTCCTGCCCGGGCTGGCTTTGAACTGTGATCCTCAGATCTCAGCCTTCTGAGTAGCTAGGATTACAGGTGTGAGCCACCGGCACCTGGCTTACTTAACAGTTTTATTTCCTTTTTTTCCTGATAAGGAATACTTAATGAATTTCTTTGTCATCCTTGTATAAGGGTTATGCTAATCTCTGGATCATTCTAATTTTTTACTTTGTGTGCTTCTAATGTGAGCATTTTTCTTTCTTTGCTAGTTTGTTGCTATTAATTCATAGTTATTTTCTTTCTGTATTTGGAATTAAGTGTTTATACTATGCTTGTGTATTTATGGTCTTTGCACTGTAGCACATTCCTGAGGGTCTTTCTTGTATAATTATTGCCACTTATTCTTTTAATTACAAATAAACTTTTCACTGATAGCTACAGGAAACACAAATCTTGTGAATATAATGTAGCTTTGTCATCAGCAAAATTTTTCCCCTTTAAAAATTTTTTAAAATTCTCTTTAAGTAGTTGTACAAAGTGGTTTCAATTCAACATACCAGTTTATAAGTACAATTTATTTTAAAAATTTATTATTATTATTTTTTGAGTCCGGTCATGGGACCTGAACTCTGGGCCTGGGCGCTGTCCTTCAGCTCTTCAGCTCAAGGCTAGCGCTTTACCACTCGAGCCACAGTGCCACTTCCGGCTTTTTTCTTTTTGGCTTATGTGGTGCTGAGGAATCGAACCCAGGGCCTCAGGCATGCAAGGCAAGCGCTCAACCACTGAGCCACCTTCCCAACCCCAAGAATGACATTTTTTTGTTTTGTGTCCAGTCTGTAGCTGGATGCTCTACCTAGAGAGTGGCTAGTTGCCTACCAAGTAACTTCAGTTTCCCTTAAAAATAGGTTAATATTGCTGGACATCTGTAACTCACACCTGTAATCCTAGTACCCAAGAGGCTGAGATCCGAGGATCACAGTTCAAAGCCAGCCCGGGCAGGCATGCCCATGAGACTCTAGTTAACCATCAGAAAACCAGAAGTGGTGCTGTGGCTCAAGTGGCAGAACACTTGCCTTGAGCTGAAGAGCTGAGAGACAGTGCCCAAGTCCAGAGTTCAAGCCCTATGACCCACAAAAAAAATTCATTGACTTTCACCTTATTTCTGTAGGAGCTAGCCTTGAGCTTAAGAGCTGAGGGACAGTGCCCAGGCCCAGAGTTCAAGCCCCACGATGGACCAAAAAAAAGGGGGTGTGGGGAATATCAAGTCAGAAATAATAGCTGGCACAAAGTAAGTACTCAGTTAAATGGCAGTTGAGATATGGATTAAATAATTGTTGTAGAAGGGGAAGGAAAATATGAGAGACCTAATTGGAGCTAAAACCTGGAAAATGAAGTATACTAAGGTTTGGTGTGTTACAAGGTAGAAGGAATGGTGTATAAAAAGGTTTCTAGGCAAGAGAACATGTTTTCTGATTTTCTGAATGTGTCAGATTTGCAAAGTATTAATTCACAAAAGCTATAAGATACTAAGTAAAGTATATAACAAACTAATCTTGCTAGAAATTTAGCTTGAGAAGATTGTAAATGTGGATATTTTGTGTGTGTTCTTATTTAAGTTTAAGCTTGCAGAAAAATTTGTGATCATCTATTAAATGCCACCAATTTGATTTCTTAACAGTTCTTTGTTTCATTTTAGGCATACAAATGGTGCATTGAAGCAATGAAAGAAATTACAGCCGGCTTACCAGTTAAAGTTGTGGTAGATGTTCTAAGACAAGCTTCTAAGGTAAATTTAATGTTAAAATTATTAAATGAATCCTAGATTCTCATCTTTTCTCATCTTCAATAAACTACTTAGAAAAGGCCAGAAATAGTCCTGTGATTCAAGTGGTTAGAGCACCACCCTTGAGCAGAAGCAGAAGCAACTCAGGGACAATGTCTAAGCCCTGAGTTCAATCTCCAGGATCCGCAAAAAAAGAAAAAAAACAGTTACTACTTTGATGTACCAAAGTCTTTAAAGTATTAATATACTTATGACATTACTCTTCACATTTACAAGTTTCTAAAATACTTCACTTGATTTCTTTCATTTGTGGGGTTTCTTTTATTTGTGGGAATTCATTTAAGAAAAATACTACAAATATGTGGATTTAGAAGATACCAGGGCTGGGAATGTGGCTTAGTGGTAGAGTGCTTGCCTACCACATAAGCAGAAAAGCCGGAAGTGGTGCTGTGACTGAAGAGATAGTGCTAGTCTTGAGCAAAAGAAGCCCAGGGACAGTGCCCAGGCCCTGAGTTCCAGCCCCAGGATTGGGAAAAAAAAGAAGATGACATCAGTGCTTCTGTGAAATTTTAAATCAGTCATGTTAAAGCAAGTAAACAGCATAAATATTCAAATTGTTAGTGCTACAAAGGAGAAAATTAGTATTTTTTAATTCAAAACATTGAATATATAATGTCCAGGCAACATAATATATAAAATATGTTTACTTATGCAATGGTATGTAGAGTTTAAAAGTCTTTAAAAAAAAAAGGCTATGGCTGGAAATGTGGCTTAATGATAGAGTGTTTGCCTAGTTTGCATGAAGTCCTGGGTTTGATTCCTCAGTACCACCTAAACAGAAAAAGCTGGAAGTGGTGCTGTGGCTCAAGTGGTAGAGCGCTAGCCTTGATCTGAAGAGCTAAAGGACAGCGCTCAGGCCCACAGTTCAAGCCAAAAAAAAAAGATTATTGGATGAATCAAGTCATACCATCTGGAGTATGCCAAATCTCCTGATTTCATAAGCTAAACAAGAGTTAGCCTTGATTAGCACCTGGATAGGAGAATTCCTAGAAATACCAGGTGTCAGGTGTTGTAAACTTCAAAAACAATATTTTAAGAAAACTATACTCCATCAGAAAGAATGACATTGCCACATTTGTTAGGAAATGGAAAAACTTGGAAAAAATTATATTAAGTGAAGTAAGCCAGGCCCAAAGAAACATAGGTCCCATGGTTTCCCTT